CAAGAAGTTAACAAAAATAAATGAAACACAATATTAATAAATTGAAAAAAAAAAAAAAAAAGAGTTGTAAAAAAAATCTGCTTATACGTTATTCAATGAGGTAAATAAACGGTTGACAATAGTGTTAGGTATAAAAATCATGAAGGTACTGAATTAGTCGATAAAATATAAAACAAACACATGAAAACAAGAAGAAATTAATTGAAAAGGCTCTGGTTTTAGATAGCTCTGTTAGGATAGTTTTGCAATTGAAACAAAATATACAAGCTCGATATTAAAAATGCTTACATGGTACGCCTTGTGGAGGACGTTATCAAGCTTGAAATAATAATTCATAGTGATAACAATAATTTAAATAAAACGGAGGCTACATATGCAACATTGTCAATGGAACCTATCAATGACTATTATAATTCATAAAATCAAATTTAAAAAAAGGAAGTTTTAAGAAAGTCTGAAACAGGTATAATTAATTCAAGTCGTTCAACAATCTTGTTCGCAAATACCTGTGTCCATAAAATTTGAAATGTTAAAAAACTATGCACTTACAAATAAACAAAAGGCTACTAAAAATGTGTTGCTTATGTTCAATCAAATGGTAACATTACTTGTAACATATATCTATAAGTTATTAATGATTATGTTTTATTGTATTAATAATGAGATTGCCGTATATGCTGAAATATGTTTTTGTACATACGTTTTAACACTAGTCGGCCACGAGGTCTTCATACATGATCTGGTCGACCGACGTCGGCGGTTGCCGACGTAAAATCACTTCGCCCATTGTACTGGAACTACTATATACTGCACCTAAATAATAAAATAAACAATATGAAGTTTTTAACTCAAACATGTAGTCAAAGCAAACAAAAACACGCACGTTCACTATTCTAAATCGATGTCAAAGCTATAAACGCGGATCACGTTTGAAAAGACAATAGAAATTAAATACCGGTTAAAGAAACAACGATTCAGTTATCAGAAAGAAAAATGTTTTATAGACACAGAATACCTTGCTGCGCACGAACGAATGAAATGTAAAATATGGCCGACACGACGACGCTAGGAAACCCCTCAACGATCATATTTATTACGACTACCACTACAACAGTCATAACGTACATGACGTGGCCGACCAGTATGGCCAACTGTAGGGATATTTCGATATTTAGATTCGAATAGATAACGTCACGGACCGCCAATAAATTTGTGTATAGCACGAATTAAGATACATAGAATATACAATGACATTCAGATAAAAACTAATCGGCGGCAAAAATTTTATCCAACCCCGTTATAATTACTTATAATATTTATGTTTTTGTTGTTAACAATAACAATTTTATAAAGTAATACTTAATAACTAAAGGAAAGAAACCAATTATTATTATGTCTCCTAAATTTCGTGTCCCCAACTGCAATTCATTTGCAAAATCAAGATTTAGTAGCACTAAGTTTTATTTTTTTTTTTTTTTTTTTTTTTTTTTTTTTGTGACTATTATTAAAACTATATAAATCTTTAATAGGTACAATCTATGTTCGAAATTTTATACATTTTCATAGTATTTGTTCCAATAAATTTTCAAAGTACCCAACCGTGCTGTCACACCAACGCATAGTGTTCCACTTATTTGACGTTTAAACATCACATTAAAAAAAACAAAACAAATTTAGTTGTCAGTACACCTATTGAACATACATACGGACAATTTCCCTTTTGTGAATTAACATGAAATAATAATATGAATTTAACAAATAAGTCTAAGAACAGGTTCAACTAGGAGATTTCACACATCTGGGCCTAAATAATATGAAGGTTAACAANACAAAATATTAATATATAAGACGATTATTACTCCCCTCTGGTCATATGGTATCCAAATCTGGGGCCAAGCCAAATAATCCAATATAAGACCCATACAAGCTTTCCAGTCTATATGTCTTAGACAAATAACTGGAGCCCCATGGTACATGACCAACGATGCATTACATAAAGATCTCCAAATCCCAACAGTCAACGAAATAGCAACTCGTCATTACAAAAAGTTTCACTCCAAACTGCACTCGAACCAAAACCCTCTATTTCCCGCATGTCCTCTATAACCATCCCCAACAATCCTCCGAGAAGGTTAAAAAGAAAATGGCCAACAAACGCTCTTGCCTAATGGTCTCCATATTATATGAACCCATCAAATTAAATAGGAGGTACTGTTGATGGATGGTTTCCCCCCCTCAAGACATTCAAGTCATTTTAATATTACCTATGTTATCAAATTCACTTATTGTACTAATTGTATAGATGGTAAATATGCTTAAATAATAAAAAAAAAAATAAAAAAAANCACTATAAAAATCATCGATTTTCTGGATGTATTGATGATATTTTAGGAAACTGAGAAAAAATTAATAATTATCAGTAATAAAGTGACATAGAATATCCCATATCATTTAATTATTTTTCCCCATACTTATAGCGTACCTTATATATATATATCCTATATGCATTTTATATAAATAAAATTAAAAATCAGTATACGAAAATAATATATGTATTTTAAATGACAATCTTTACCTCGTGACAGGGGAATCTTAGGAAGCTCGAATATGGCTCAATATACATTTTTATTTTTTGAAATACAGTTAGAGGACGTCAAAGCAAAAATTCTATCATCACCCAAATAAGAACCTTCCTAAAACATAGGTTTATGTTGGCATTAATATTATGCTTTGGAAATAAATTTATAAAATATCGTAAGATATTGTAAATGGATCATGGTATAATATCTAGTATGACAATGATAATATACCTGAAGCAAAACAATTTTTGAGAAATTTACTTGCAATACGATGTTTGGTAGGAAAATCTCTATGCGAAATGCAAGCTTTGATAATAATTAAAGTACCAATTTATTTTATTTTCAAAATATGTACGAAATATATAAGTACAATATTTCGTTTTTTTTTCCTGTGAATAATTTTTCTATACTCCATCTCACGAGAGAAGGTACACGTTTTTTCGTCCGTCGCTGGGCATCTCCCACCACCTTTGCCCGTTCGATTACGATATTACGCAATCAGGAGTAAGAGAAATTTTGCCTCCGTTCTCTCGCCGATGCGCGGAGCGTGTATCTTCTCTCGTGAAACGGAGTATACCAACAATTTTGCTCCGATTTACAACGATAGCATTTTTTCTGGAAGGAAATCTGACTAGGAAGGGGTCATTTTTCGATTTTCCAAAGAATTTTCTCAGCAAATGTAAAGAACCGAGAAAACATGGGACAACCAGGAAAACCATAGGAAAAACGCGAAAAACATGCCTATTTAATTATTTTACCATAATATGACATACATATTGTTAACAAAGCATCACAATCAACTGAACTCCGCTTAGAATTATTTTTTCGTTAACAATGGTTTATCATTGTTTACAGATATATATTAAATTTACGTCTATACCATCCTATCTTCCCAAATTCCCACCTAGTAGCTACACTCCTATCACCAGGACAAGTTTTTAATGTATTTCTAAAATATGTATCATAATCGTAGGCATGCGCAGACTTTAAGTTCGGGTCATGCCCTAGAAAAATTAATTTATTAGGTGAATCCTTCTCACCCCCAATCAACTTTTATTACCTTTCAATACTAGATAATAAAAAATAATAATTAATTCTATACACTGTCTTTAAATTAGTTTTCATAATTATATAATAAGGTATCTAATTAAATAATATCATACACTTCAAATTTGTGAAAACAGGGAAGAGGTCATTGGAGAATTTCTACCACCTTTACCTTCAAAAATAATGCATATAGGTACATAATCAATATAATGGGGTTTAAATTCCTCTCCAATAATATTTGGACTGTTTGTACCTAAGATTTTTGTGTAAGGTTTCATTGAAAGATCCCCTCAGGGCAATACCTGAGAATTTTTATAGTTCTGTAATTGAATACTTGTGTGCCCAATGGACAGGTAACGGATGAGCCTTTTTTTGTTTTATATTCATTGTTAAACTTTTCTAGCACTGGGTGCCGATTTTGCTATACATGGCACTACCTCCCCTGCCAAGATAACCTAAACATGCTTATAGATTGGTTTTAAAATTATGTTTATTTACTTTTTTTTTTACACTGTGACAAACATTTCTTTCAGAAATCCTGCTCCGATAGTCCAATATGTACCTATGGCACCATTTCTAAAGAATTTTGTTTAGATGGTACTTTAAGCAAGACATTTTTTGATTTTTCATGCGGTTTTCATAATATCCCGGAAAACCCGGAATAAAACGTAAGAAAAACAGAAATTTATGAAAATAATGTTTATTTTTATTTTCAATTTTATCATTTATTGTAAGTAATATAGTTAAAAAAATTCGTAGATACTTAAAATTTGGACAGAAAACTTATACTTGCCTTTAATAGACATGATAATATTAACTTTATCCATTTTTTAGCTATTTATTGACATTTTAATTTTGTGAGTTTTGTACGTAATTTATATTCTGAAGGATTAAATAAAAAATTATGTGGATCAAATCTAATTTTTCAATTTTTTCTTTTTGAACATATGTATATTTCTGATTTAATAACAAATCTCTAAGTTTAATGAATTTATATATTATTGCACGTAGCTCACAAACTAAATTGTTAATATGTAGATCCTATCTTAAGTTATTATCCAAAATTATACCTAGATAACGGATTTTGGATAAATTTTTTATTTGTATACAAATTTAAGGATTACATTTCGTAGAGATTTTACAATTATGAGTTATTAATGGAGATCCGTAGGTATTACATTTATTTATTGAAAAATACATATACATAGTTTTATCATAATTTATAGTGAAGCGTATTTTATTTAAACATTTATACATTAGGTTTAAACCTTCCGTAGCTTTATGGTATACATTATCCCAACAATTTCCTGTGAATAATAGGCAGGTATCATCAGCACACGTTACTATTTTGCCATCGATTTTTAATTTACAAGCCACATTTATGTACAATATAAATAGAACTGGCCCTAGCACACTACCATGAGGGACACCATATTTTATAAAGTTTTCATCACTTGTAATATCATTTAATTTTACTATTGGTTTTCTACAAGATAAATAGCTCTTAAACCAAAGTAGATTGCGATTATTTATTCCGAAAATAAGAAGAATTTTAAAAAGAATATCACGATGTATGGATCCAAAAGCCATTGCTAGATCTAAGAAAACAGGTAAAACTTTATTACCGTTTATTTTCCGTACCTAAACTCAGTTTGAAACCATATTGGTTTTTTGATAATAGTATAATAATAATAATAGTTCGTTTCTTTCTAGATACGAAATGATTCTTGACATAATGATTTTTTGAAAAATGTGTTAATATAAATATGGGTCTATAATTACCCATATGTTTACAGTCAACCCTCTTATATAATGGTTTGATGAATGCTAATTTAAAATTATAATAAAATACTAGTAGGAAAATACTAGTTTTAATTTTTAGATTAAATATATGAACAAGAAGATTAACAATTTGATCAAAGATACTGTTTAATATTTTTACCGTTTCGTATCCTGCAGTGGTTTCGTCTCTACAGTTGTTTGTAATTGGTTTTACCTCTGATACATCAACTTTTTTAGAAAAAAATTATCGAATGATTGCGCATCAAGATTGTTTATCACATTTAAATTACAGTTTGAATTTATCATCCAAATTTTTACCGACGTTTATCAAAAAAATATTCAATAAATTTGACACCCCAACTGGATCATTTACTATATTTACTATATAATTATTCATTTTAAAACGTCAATTTTATCTTTATTTTTATAAATGGTACCTGTTACTTCATTTATTAATTGCCAAATTAATTTAGGACTATTTGACACTGTTTTAAATTTTATTCATAAAAATTGATTTTTGTAAGCCTTATTGATTTTGTAAAATTATTTTTATATTTTTTATAATATGTCACAAGTTCAATATTATTTGAGTGTTTCTTACATTTTAGATATATATATAATATAAATTGCTTACACCATGAAGAACATAACAAACCTTTTGATATCTATTCCTTTAACCGTTTATTTTTGGAATTAACAGATCTAGAAGTAGAAGAAACATTAAGGGCATTTATAAATATATTTTAAAATATAGAAATACATTCATTAATCGAGCTACATTCATATAAATTGTCCCATTTTTCTTTACTTAATAATGTTTTCATTTTATCATGATTTATGATATTAACTATGTGTTCAGGATTCATTAATTTAACAGAAATTAGAATTGATACTATAATAAAACAGTGATCAGTGATATCTATTAATAAAACACCTGCATTTATTTTATTGAACGTATTAATATTATTACTTTTAATAAACACATCTAAGCATGAGTGCTATTGAGCCTTTGGTAATCTCGTAAAAGCACGAATAAAAAAAAATTACTGTTAACCAATAAGAAATCAAGATAATCGTTATCATTTATATGAGAAACAATTATGTTAGTATTCATGTCCTCAATTAATGTGATTAAATTTATATCAAAATTTAAACCATTACAGGCTTCTTTTAATGAGGAATTAAGACTATTATTATCAATGTATTATGTATTATAAGTCACCATACGGTGACTTATATATACATAATAAAATTATTGGTATACTATTGATTTTTAAAGAGATCTTTAATATATTATTTTCTAGATAATTATAATCATTACTCCATCATTCTGGTTTTTCTTATCTAAGGAAAAAAATAGGTTATAATTAGTTATCTTGTAGTTACACGAGGACGTGACATGCCAACTGTCAATCAACACTATGATATCAATTGTATTACTATTAACATAATTTTCTAAATATAATAACAGTTAATCAAAATGTGCATTTACACTTTGTATGTTGAAACATATAATATTTAAGTAATTTCCATTTATATCATTTGTACTTATATTATATTCCGTAAAAAACTCGAAATAATTTGTTCTATATTTTGTATTTGTAATTAGATTATTTAAATAAGCCATACAATTTGAGTTTATACTGTTTAAGAAAATATATATATATATATATATATACATATATATTTTCTTAAACATAAAATAAAATAAAAATAATTTTTAAGTAACTTAAAGTATGGATAAACAATTTTCATTTTCAACTAATATTGCTACGCAAATTTAATTTTTTTTGACAAATATTTTCGAATCTTTAAACTAAACATATTTAAACCGGGAATCACGAGCAAAAGCCTTAGTTTAAAAAAAACAGATTTCTATTAAACTGTGTTAAATATGTATTTACATATATTGAATCGTTTTTCCACTCTTAATTTTTCATATTTTCTCTTAGTTTCAATTTTCTTGAGCTGTCTATGAGATTGTTCTTGCTTTGTTTGGAATTTAATTCCGCTACTATTTTTCTAGGTCGTCCGTGATTTTTTAATTGTATACGATAAGCGTTGGTAACAGTTAATGACTTCACACCTAATTTATTAACAATTTTATCAGCTATATTTACACAGTCTTTATCCTTAATATCAGGCACATCAATAATTTCAATATAATTTTCAAAATTATTTTGCTCCAAAACATCGATCAGGTTTCTCAAAAGAATGATTTAACTCCTTAATTTAACATTTTGTTCTTTCAAAAATGGATTTTCTTATTTTAATTCTTTTAAAGAGAATATTACATCTTGAATTTGTTTGCCGAAGTTGTCAAACTTTTCACTCATGAAATTAACTGTATTTGATTCAACTTTACATTTGTTACAAGCCTATTTTTGCTTTGATGCTTTCGACATTTTTCGAAAAGCAATTTCTCTTATCGTAGAATACATAAAATGATAAAACTTATTGTACATTGGATATTTTAATTAATCATCTTTGAAAATGCCATCATGTAACATCAGTTACATAACATCATATAAAACACGCAAAATTTAAATCAGTTAAACACGATATAATGAGAAAAAAATTATAGAAGAAATAAGTGACCATAATTAAATAAACTGACTATATACGATCAAACCATTCAATAGTCGAACGATAACTGAAATATTATATTTCATTATTCCTGTGTTTCAATATTTACTATTTTTTCCTGATCTATTGTCAAAGTGTTTATACGATGACAAGTTATTACAGAATGTCAATCTGTTTTTCCTAAGATTATAAGGATTGGTTTTATATTTAAATGACCTAGTTTTATAAATATGACATTATTGCTTGTTTTTTGTAAATATTTTCTAATATTTAATACTCGTAATAGTTTGAATAATGCATTTGAAGAAAAATATTTCGGTTTTTTCAAGATAATTTTTAATATGTTCTTTTGTACTACTGTCGTNAAGGATTGGTTTTATATTTAAATGACCTAGATTTATAAATATGACATTATTGCTTGTTTTTTGTAAATATTTTCAATATTTAATACTCGTAATAGTTTGAATAATGCATTTGAAGAAAAATATTTCGGTTTTTTCAAGATAATTTTTAATATGTTCTTTTGTACTACTGATAAATTATACTTTAAGGTAGAGTTACAGCTTCCACGTGCGATTATTCGGGATTGTATTAGAGATTAGAACATTGCTCTAAGGTAGTTTTTGTTAAAAATTCTTTTAGCGGTAAGGAAAAGTGCGTTAATCGTGTCAGTTTTCTTATTCGATTTTCTATGTGAGTCTTAAATTTTAAATTTTGATCAATACATACTCCTAGGTACCCTACGAATGAGTGTATGGATAATTTTGGACATGAGCATGACATAGCGTTGCAATTATTTTTATGTATGATCAAATTCGTATTATTCAGCGCAGTTCTTAAATCATTAGTAAAAGTAACTTATTTGGATTTATAAAAATGTATCTTTAGATCATTTTTTGAAAACCAATTATCGAGTAATGAAATATAAGATTCATTTTTGCCAAGTTGATTCCCAATTAGAACTAAATACTATAATTGCCGTGTCGTCCGCGTACGAGTAGATTTTTCCGTTTAACCGAAATTTACCTTACGTAGATATGTACATAATATATAAAATTGAGTACAGTACTGTGCCCTAAAGGACTCCTCTATACATATTTCCTAATTCACTTAGAGTATTATTTATTCTGATTTGCTGAGTCCTCTCTTCTAAATACGATTTATAAATTATAAAAGCTGACCCAGTAATACCAAAAGAGTTTAAGCTATCTAGTAGTGTTATATGTGATATGCTATCGAACTTCGAAGGCTTTGCTGAGATCTAGAAATATTCCAATAGTTTTATTATGGTTATCTAAATGTTCATATATTCATATACATCTTTGGTTTGGTTTGCTAAAGCATCTTCCGTATCTAAACCTTTTCTAAAACCATACTGCGAGTTGGCTAACAAATTGTTTTCTTCTAAATAATTTATTAGTCTAGTTTTGATTGCTTTTTCAAATATTTTAGAAAATCCATTCAATAAAATGACTAGCTTAAAATTATTTATGTCAGTTTTTGAACCTTTACCTTTTTATATAAGCGAAAACAATATATTTTTGAAGGAATCTGGGATAATCCCTTTTTTTAATATTTAATTAAAAATGTTTTCTTATGTGGTAGACATTAAGTAGTTTAATTTATGTAGCTTAGTTTATTAAGCTTTATAGCTATTTATTATTTAGCTACACCAGTTACCTAAATTTATCTATTTACAATACATATATATTGTATATATAATTGTCATTTTATAGTAAAATAATTAAATAGACTCTTTATAGTTTCTTTAATAATAAATGTTTAATTTAGTACTGATTTTCCCAGTTTTCCTACGTTTTTCCCATGTTTTATCCCAGTTTTTCAAATTTTCCAGAAAAATTCCTGAAAATATCGAAAAATGAACTCTCTAAAGTACCTTTCTAGTGAAATTTCCTTTTACAAAAATTGCTATCATTAAAAGTTGGGCCAAAATCACTGGTAGAAAAATTATTCACAGACAAAAATAAGACCGTAATATATTTTAACTAATACCTACATTTCTTATATTTTTTTGTTTTTTTATGGTTTTTTAAATTTTATGAGAAAACTTTTGAGAAAATCGAAAAATGGCCTCCCTTGAGTACCCTTCTAGTGAAATTTTCTGCAGTTTTTCCGCAAAATTAAATAGCTGCCCCAAGATTTGCTCTTTTAAGGATAACTTGGGACAGCTACATATAAAATTATATCAAATAAGAAATTTAATGTACAAGCTTAAATTGAAGTACATATTAAATTTTAGATGAGAAAACTTTTAATATGAATACTGCCTCCGTATGATGATTACTTACTGAGATATATAATTTCAAAGTTCAAAACTTCCCCAAGTTACCAACTTTTACAGTATTTAAACTTAATCATATATTAACTTTTACCATTTTTATTTATATATGATACTGACAATATAACATAACTGCTGGGTTCAAAGTATCTTAAATACTTGTTTAAAACGTTTTAAATCTTCAATAATTAAATTAAAATAACTAATATATTCTGAAGAATAAAGATATTTGTGTAATTATTCATAAAATACGTAAATAAAAATAAATAATTTCTATTACTTATAGATAATTACAGAAGTAACATTTTTTTTTTGTTTCATAAATAATTATAAACGTAAAATAAAAACCAATTAAGTATTTTATTTATCATAAAAATTTGAGTAAAACAATCTAATTAATCAACTGATACAAAAAGTTAAATATAAATACAATGACTTCAATAAAATGCTGAAAATACCTGTATGAATATAATTAGGACTGTGAATTTGTAGGAAAGTGCATTTTATTTTTTTTTTGTAATTGAAAAACGTAGCTTTGTAAGTACATAATTTCAATTATGAAACTTTTATTTTGCATTTTTTGACGCTTTTAATTTTTTACCTCTTTAGGTCATATTTTCCTTTTTTAGTTCATTTTCCGGTATTTTTAATCAAGTTCCGTGAATCAACATCTTTAAAAACATTTTTAAGATTCTGAGTGGAGCAAAAAAGCTGTTTTACAAAGGTAAATGTTACTTCAACAAGCTACTTCAAGAGAGATAAGAAAATCACTCTTGGTTATAGCACTCACATATAATGATGCTTTGGTTGAAGTTTCAGGATTTGTATCATATTTTTCAAGACGTTCTTGAGTAGCAAATATATGAATGTAAAGTTCTTTGAAAGCAATAAGTGAATCATGTCGATCAACCCATCGTGTTTCACAAAGTTTTTTTAATTTTGTTTTTTTTTACCACTTATTGGAATTACTATTTTTATAAAAATCGCCTTAATGTAACCTTAATGTCACGGATATAGATAATAAATTGCTATTACTATAATATTATTTATTTAAAACATTAAGGGTAAGCACAATTACATATTACATAGAAGTAAAATTTTAAATTCAAAAAAATAATAATAAAACAATACAAAGTAACTATGGTAAAAAGGTTAGTTGTTCATTAACCATCGCATAATACGAAAAATAGGGTTGTTGCAGTCGTAGTTTGTGAAATAATTTGACACAGAGAAAGGGGTATAGAAACAGAGGGAATACTGTGGCACTCTGAAGTTAATACTCAAAAAGAAAATGAGGGCATCTATTGAATTGTCTAAGAGTTTATGTAGAAATGATAAATTTTCAGCTGCTCTTCTATTAGCCATTATATAATATATTATATTCATATTAACATAGGTACTTACGTACTCATAGATATATTATATACTTATCTATTGATGCACTGATATAAAAATTTAAAAAACATCCAATGGGAGCGGGGGCCCCTCTGTCCTCCCTCTTTGCTACGTCACTGGAATCAATTAACTTCAAAATCAAAATTCAAATTCAATCAACATTTTTATAAAATAAATTTGTATTCATATAATATACAAATCAAATTAAAAACTATTTTAAGTGCATATTTTATTGCATTTTTTGACATTTTAAATGCATTTGTTAATGTTTTTTAGTGCATTAAATTCACAGCCCTAAATATAATAATAAGGACTAAATAAATATGTAATTAAAAATCTTACAATTTTATTTCTTGCTATAATATATTAATATTTTCAATTCTATATAATAATATTTTAAGCTACTGGCAACAACAATCTATCTAAAGGCAAACAAATATATAATAAAATACTTTAAAGACTAAATGAATAATAATATTGGTAAAAATAAACGAATAACAATTTATAAGTGTATACATTACCTGCCCAATAAGAATATGGTTTAAAGATTAAAATTAAATAAGTAGCATAAGGTAAAAATAAATGTAAGTATAATAAGCTAAGGTAGGATAATGAAATAATTTAAACTGTAGATTAACTTGCAAATGAAAACCCCTTGTTACATTTTCTTTATTTATGATGGTTGGAATGTGCCAATAAAAGTATTACATCTTGAGCAAGTATGCTTGTAGTTTTTAAAACTGTCCATGCAAAATGGCAAACAAGAAAACAATGTACACCTATTATAATCATAAACAATTTATTAATAATAAATATAATTTTAATAATTTGTTTGCATACCCAACGACGAGCAGAAACAAACAACATAGATAAGCCGTATTTGAACTCTCTTCTTGAACTGTTGTCAATACAATTGCTTTACACTTAGGACAAATAACCTCAACAGGTTGTTTACCTAATGGCGGTACTAAAATAAAATAAAATATTATTAAATAATATAAATATATAGATATTTACTGGTATGGCCTGGTATTACTGGGTAACATTTTTACATTTTTTATTATTATTTATAAAGTATTAGTTACGTACATCAATTAATTAATTAGTTAAAAATTATCCAACATTACAAATTACAAATCTCAATGTTAGCATACAAAATAAATGTTCATTTGACAAATTATTAATGTTTAAATTATTTACTTTTAAGGTATGCTTATAAAATTTTACAAAACAAGTATTTTCACAGTAAATCCAAATAATTAGCAAAACTCAAGTACAATACAAAAGTATTGTCACCTTTATTTAAGAGGCTGCCACACCCATATTTAATGTCTCTGTATTACAAATGTGTGATATAACAAATTTGAATTTAGTAGGATACATTATGTGCCTTTAATTTTAATAATAAAGCTAATTGACTTATAATTAAACTTAAAGGTAAAAGTATAACATGTGCCCTAGTGTTGATGTTTTACAATATTTTAATTTTTAAGCAAGATGGAAATCACTTATAACTTGTGATATTTCACATTCTCATATCTCACTTAAAAATTAAATTATCAAAAAAACATCTACGCTAGGGCACATGTTATACTTTTACCTTTAAGTTTGTTAATAAATCAATTTGCTTGAATATTAAAACTAACAGCACAAAATGTGTCCTGCTGAATGAAAATTTGCTATGTCTCACGTTTGTAAGACGGAAACAATAGATGTCAGTGAGGTGTAATCCTAACACTAAGGTTACCAACTTCTTAATACATAATTTAGGACTAAGAAAACTTATTTTATCTATTTTATATAATAAAAACCAATAAAAAAAAAATGTAGAACTTTTAACATCAAGGTCTATAGAATAAAATGTAAGGCTATCTTGTATGCTATATTATATGTTGTTAAATGTAGGACAGATCAAACAAATATAGAAAAGTCCTCTTTCCTCACCAATGTAAGACACCCAACACCATAATTTATGTCCAAAGTGGTTCAACATGGCAGGATAGTTAATAATAAATTTAATTAACTAAATATTACAAAATCAAAAAACTAACAATATCTAACACTTTAAAATACCTGTGTAGGTAAATCAAAGTAAAAATTAAATAATTGGAGAAATAAATAATCCAAGTTGATACTTTTTTTTTAATCTAAACTCAAAACTTGGTATTTTTTATTTATTTGTATTACTAATAACTAACATATTATATTATTCACTTAAACAGTTTATTATTATACATTCAATTATATTAAATATTAACATATTTATTTTATCATACTGTATTATACATTAGTTCTCCGTGTATCAATTATTATTACCTACATAGTATATTATGTTTAAGTTAATTTCATTAAATAAGACTAAAATTGTAAAAAAAAATTAAATGTAAATTATTATTATAAATAGATTATTTTTCCTATTAAAAATTGTGCCCACGAGTGTCCTCACACGAACCTGTTGCCCATTATTTTTTCGAAGAAATAAACAATAATAATAATATTTGTACTACTTCTACCCATAGGAGAAACCCAATTATTAGTAGGTAAATTCATAAAACAACATCTGTATTAAGGTAAACACATAAAATATTTAACACTTACAAGCGGGCGCTTGAATAACAATCACTTGTGTTGGAACTTGAGGAGCATACTGAGGATAACCGGGGCAAGGCTGTTGAGAATTGTATTGCTGTGGAATGTATGAATGATTTTGAGTGCTTACAGATTCAAAGTATGATGGCGGAGCACTCGGTATATTTTGTTCGTTTTTTAAGTCTTGTGGATTCATAATGACAAGAAAATCTAAGAAAAAATGAATAGGTACTTTGTTCACATAAATTTTACTATTGGCACTAAAATGACCAAACCAGAGTAACAATAATAATTACGCTGGCCGATATTTACAAGTAATGATATGCTATACAAGTTGATATTAGAGATTAGATATAATATCAGTTAAGTATGAGTCATAACATATGATTACAATATTAAAATATTCGACTTATTACACATCTGAAATACAACTCAAATGGACTGTAATCAATTTGTACGCCAGACAAATAAGACAGTTGACGAATATCTATAAAGAAAAAATATAAAAAATAATAATCAGAAAGATAACGGAAAACAGATTTGGCAATATAGACGTTTACGTAATTACTTACGAATTAAACTATAACAAGTACGATTAATAATAAGTAGCTACCAATGAGAATAAAGAAATATAATACTATATGAGTTAGGTAACCTGAGATACCCAATAAATCTATGAAGGTACCTAGTTATAATATCTATTATATCTACCTTGACCAAAATCATATGCACACAACTCAAAACAGGCCAGATCGTTTACACATTAACGTAACAAGTTTAAATAGAGTTTATTGTTGACTGCACATCTAATTATAATTTTAAAAAATCGTAATAAAAACGTAAATTCATTGTTGTACACCATTGTGCATATTGACGGAAAAATGAAAATCCAAATATTAATATTGAGAACATTACATTCTGATGCAACACAAGGTAGGGGCGGAATATCATGAGCTAATAAACAATAATACATCGAACCAAATCCCAACACATAATGCCTTGTAAAAATAATTTTAAGCGTGAAAGAAAATAATTGATTATTTTTAGAATCAGTTTTTTATCCTTGAACAATTTTCCTAAACACTAACGCTTCGGTTCTTTTGTTTAAAACAATAATTAAGCCCGGTCCACGCTAAAGGTTCCTAACGTAACCGAATTGTTGTTAAATAAATATAACAAATTTGTCACTATTTAAATGTGTATGAAACATACATAAAACCCCGTCTACACCAAGACAACACAGAACATGTAAGTTGTCTATAATTTCCTATTGTTCCATAACATGTAAAAACATATTACAACATTGGAAACATAACGTACACATTTAAGCAACAAAATCACAGCAACATTGATAAACAACTGGATTGACTGAGTCCACACTGATAAACTTGTAGCTACATGTTGCCTGTTTACCAATTTATTATATTGTTTTGTGGTGACATGCTTCCGCTTTCAATTGAAACATGAAACAATGAGAAATTTTCGTTGCTTGCAACAAACTATTGATGAAACAACTTCTGGAAATATATAGGAACTATTGTTGTGTCAACATAATTCGACTTAAAAAGTTGTTATATGTTGCCTTGTGTGGACCGGGCTTAAAGGCGTGTTTTACTATAAAGTTTTGAGCAACCTGTTACCTGATTAGTTTGGTAAGTAAAACTATTTTGGAGGCAGAGTTTACTGTAATTGTTTAATAGTTGAATGTGTCTTTGGCAACCGGGTTGCCGGAATCAGCAAACAATAAATAGAAAACTACATTAACTATTTTGGATTACTTATAATAATCTACTGATAAGGACTATCATTTCATCCATGATATGTTAATTATATCTGTGATTTATACCTAGTGTCTAGCCCAAGGTCCTAGCTAGATTTAATTAGTATTGTGCAATGTACAATACACCGCGTTGTTTACATATAACTGGCAAATGCCAATCAATTTTTCAAGTTTTGTTTACGATATTTTTATCGTTAATCAATATTACACTGTAAAATATACACCGTGTGCGCCTTCATTTGTAAACATTGATGAAATACAGAACGGCCTCTATATACCAGACGCCAAAAAAATACGGTTTATATCACAGTCCTTATCAGTACCTGCCTACTTGAAACAAACGTCACAGTTACCTAATAGCTTAGATCATATACTATGGATAAAGCTATTGTCTAAATATTTGAAGAAAACATAACTAAGATGAGTTGGGACAAATGCGTATGCACAAAATTTATATCACACGTGATCACTTGTGATGTACCTACCATCCTTGCCTGGTGGTATTATAATGATTATACGATAAATATGCGACGAATACTGATACGCATGCGCAATAGATATTAGTCCCCATAGCACTCGTTAATAATGATATCCTCAACTCGTAGTACCATAGACCGATAAACATTATTATCAGGTCTATGCATAGTACGTGTTTATCATGCAGTAGTTCCATCCATAGTGTATGATTTAAGCCTTATAGATTGATAATTGACTTTTAGCAGTTGTTACTGCTAACTGCAGCTACTCCTACCATTAATTAGACAAACTTAATCAATGCTGCTACTAACTGTGACTGGCGACTACAATCAATTTGAGAAAATGTTGAAATAATGAATTATATTATTATGTCCACAATAAATCATTAAAACCTAGAGGTATACATTTTAAAATGGTCATTTCCATTAATAATAAGGTAACTGTGTCATTTATTCCAGGTAGGCAAGTACTGATAAGAACCGTTTATTTAATTAGTGATATAAACAGTTTTTTTTTTTACTGCCTGGTTTACTTTATGGTCTGGTCTCTCATTCTCATAGAATAATGTAATAGTCCCTGTATATTGCTCTTTGATATAATCTGTGATAGTAGATACCAAGGTTGAAAAGTATTATTTATCAAATATTTTTTTTTTTCCATACTTAATTGTGTAGTATGTATAAATTAATAATTTTTAATAATAATTTAATTTATTACTAACTAATCATCTTATAAATGTATAACTTTTCAATTAGTTCCACGAGTGAGTAAAATTTGATCATTTCACATTTATTTACGATAAAAACATACCTATTTATTATTTGAAACTCATTAATAATTACTGATCATTTGCCTAATTGAGGTAATTGGTCTTTTATAATAGTCTGGCATCTAAATTTGATAATAATTCATCATACTTGCATAAATTCCAAATCTAAACTTACTCCGGTCCCTAAGCATTAGCCAATGTATCTTAATAAAAACGCTTTTTGGATAGTATAATATAATACATCATATTAAAATGGAAGCAAAAAAAACCTACATCCAATTATTAAACTATACTAGTATTTTGTATTTTTTCTTCTTTTTTTATTCTGTTAAACATTTTAAATTAAAATTGTATTAATGATTACAGAAACGTAACAAGTCACAAATTTTAAAGGTCTTCCTTAAACTTTAAAAGTCAATAATAAATACAATTATTTTTACACAGAAATTATATATAATATATATGTATTCATTATTAAATTAAATTTCATTTCAAAATTATTTGTACTATACAGTTTTTTATCAATTACCCAAAAGTTTCAAGTAATTTGTTTCTGCAATTGATTCATATATTATTATACCCTATAACAAAATAAGCACACAATCGATTCTCACCCCAAAATTACAGATTGTGTTTGACCTTGTGCTTGTGCACCGTGTACACATGTGTAAATCAGGGCCTGCCTATAATTTATACCTTACATAAGTATATACTTTTGTTTTTCAAATAAAAACCCCCCTTTTTTGTGAACAAATTTTGATATGCATAATACTAATAATACTAATATCAGATTTACTGTTTAAAGTTTAGAATGGAGAATTAGAAATCAAGCAATTTATTACCCTTTGCTACTCCTCCAGTTTAAACTTTAAACGGTAAATCTGTTATTAGTGTTATACATATCAAAATTTTTAAAAAAATATTCTCTATTCCAATCTGTGTTCAATTATTTAGCTACCTACTTATTAAAACATTTGAATTCATATTCATGTGTCATGGCAGTTCTAAATTAATACTAATGTATTTTATTAGAATAAAATCATTAGGTATATTCAGATTTATGGGTATACTTTAATTGGAAAATAAATACCATTGTTAAATTTAATGTGCACGTTCAATTTATAGGGAAAGAGAGTTTGGTCTAAAACTTAAAATATGGTGATGTAGATGTTTATACAATTTATTTATTTATTTATTATAAAGAGCATTTTATATATTCTTTGGTCAATCAACTTAAAATATCTTAATCAAAAAATAAGTACTATTACTAATATGAATCATGAATGATGTGAAATGATAAATAATGTTTATTTCATTGAACTAAATATCATCAATTATTATAACTATGATTAATGACATATGTGTAATAATATGCTATAGTTATTACCCACTATTTCTAATAATGTTTTCCAACACAAGTGTACGGCGTTTGTCTACCGACTCCCGTGCAGTAGATAAAACAAATTCCATACTTATGACAGGTATATTGTAATCTTATCTACACATGTGCAGAAAATATAATGGGGTAAATCAGTGTTTCGCAATCCTTTTTCATTAATGTACCCCTTGACCTCTCACCCCTGATTTACGGACCTCCAAATGACAACTCGTCATATATTTTCATGTAAAATAGTTATGACAAATGTCACTTTTTCTACCATTACTATTTTTTTCAACAAACCCCCTAATACATCCTACCTTCTCGTGGACCACTAGAGATCCACATAACCCCGGTTGAGAAATGCTAGTGTTAATGATATAGTCTTTATAAATTATCATTAATCACATACATAATTTTATCACTTTTATAAAAAGCATATTTTATTCATAACTATTGTTTATATTAGTCTCCCATGAATATACCTATTGTGATATCAGAAAATATTAACATTTTTAGGACTTTTATTTTAATTTTTTTGAAAATTTAAAAAATAATCAGCTCTAAAATAGTACATCACCATTGTTTTTCAACCTACACTTATTCCTTTTTCTATGTTGCTGTCTACTACCCAACACTACAAACCATACAACATTAATTTTAAATTTCATTGGAATTTTCTTGTCACCTAAAACATTTGACATCTTCACTTTGTCTAATCACACTTAATCCTATGTTTTATATCCTCATCAAAGCCACTGGTTCTTTCATACAAAAAATCATAGGTACTTAGAAATCTCAACCCCACCTATTACATCAGCACATATTGTCATTAGCTGTCTATCCTGTTCAAATAAAATTCTGTTTTTTTTATATATATATATATTAAAGGGATAAGGACCACAAATATTCATACTTCAATTAGTTTTTTGTTTTGGTGAAAAACTTTTAAAAAAAATGTATTGTTTTTGGAAAGTTTAAAAATAACCATTTATAGAATTTATTCTTCTGAAAATGTTAATGTATCAACTTTTTATTTTCAATAAATTCATGAGTTTTAATAATTTTTTTAATTAGTTTTTGTCTAAATTTTTCATAAACTATGCATTATGGAAATACCTGGACAGTTTTTCATTAGCCATTTGATAAACTTCTTTTTTGTTTTAATAATTCTATTAACATATTGAAATTTCTTAGTTCTTTATACAATAAAAAGTTCCCTAAAAAAACATAGTTATTAATAATAATATAATAACTAAACATTATTTACTTAATTACAATTTCATATTTTTTTTTTTTAGAAAAAAAAAGAAATGGAACTATCCAAGGACATTGAAACATATCCAGGGTTTTGTACTAAATGTGGATCAATACTACCATCTTTAAGTACGGAAGAATTTGTAAAGTGTTATTCGTGTAAAACAGTTTTCGGACCAGAAAGTAAGTAACCAGTGTTATTATTTTTATCATCAATTTTTTTTTTTATAATTTACAAGGACGTAGTATCAATATTATGTCTACTCAAAAGATTATAATAATATTTATTATAAACATTATTGTTTTTGAGTTCATATAAAATATTATATTATAAATTCAAGGTAATCAATTGCTTGCTATTTTATAAACTTAAGTAACATTTTCTATCTCTTTGAACTACATTTTTCAACATCATTTTTATTGTTAAGGATAAAACAATATTTTTTTACCTACATGAAAACTAATAAATGTATTCATGTATATGGTTATAATAGGCATCGACTTTTAGATTTCATCATGGGGGCAAATAAAAACTAAACTACTGTCCATGGATATTATTTATATACATAATTGTACATATTTTATCTTTAGCTATATTTAGACATTAAATTGTTTTGATGAACATTTCCATGTCAAAACTCGGCTATAAATGCTACAATAATAATCAAATAATTTTTATACACAAATGCGAAATACTATTTTTTACGTTCTATTTTCCACTTTTATAGGTGGGAAGTTGGGACTAAATATATATTACGTGTTATTTTTAAAATCAAGATATTTTGACGTTTATAAAATGTATGAATTAATGAATATATCCGCATTACATATAGCTTTTGCTATGTCCAGGAAGATAGCTAAGGTATTTTTCCCACTGTCAAGGGCATTATATATATGATTCATGGCACTATATAGTGCATTTTTAGTCCCTAAGCCAGGTCTAAAGCCAAATTGATTCTTGAACAGAAGTTTATTATCTTCTAAATAATTTATAAGTTTGTTTTTAATAATTTTTTCTATAATTTTTGAAAATTTATTTAACATAGATATCGGTCTATAGTTATTTACGTGTGTTTATGATCACCACATTTGTATAAAGAAATTACTACTGCAATTTTGAATTTATCAAGAAAAGTACATTTTTCAATACTTATATAAGTATGTCAGAGACATTGAAAAACTAAACAAAAAAATATCTGTTAAAATTCACAAAACTGATATTATTAATTATTGAATGTACAATTATTGTTTAAAACTTAATTATTATATTTCAGTTTATGGAAATTCTGAGGCTATGTACGATATTGTTTTGAATTCTGTCGAAGATTTAGATAATGTAGTGAAAGCTGGGCATAATAAAGACAAAACAGAAGATGGTCCGATTGCCGAGCGGAGATGCAGCGCTTGTGGTCATAACCAGATGTCCTATGCTGCTGTGCAATTAAGATCAGCTGATGAAGGACAAACCGTATTTTACACCTGTATTAAGTGCAAGTAAGAATACTATATCCCTTCTATTTAAAATTGTATATTTTTGTATTTATAATGTAATTATAAAAATGCACTTTTCTCTTTTTCAGATTCACAGAAGCAGAAAACTCTTAATGTAACTTAAACAAAATATATATTTTTTTTTATATAAAAAAAAAAATACACTTTAAATAAAATAAATTCTGAACCTTTAAAATCAAAACTTAAAATTATAATAATCAAATTTATTAAAATACTATAACAGCATACATTATAGTTTTAACCTAAACTTTGGTTTTTTAATTATATTCTAGTTAATTGAATTAATAGAACTTAAAATATGTTTTTATATACGAATAATAATGTACAAAAAAAAAACTTATCATGTATTTATTTATTTTATTTAATTAGATTAATGGCGTATTTTTAATTAAGAAAATTTTTGAATACAATTAACAACTGTATTTTGTTCCATGCACTTTGATGTCATATTTTTCAGTTAAAATGTTTTTATAAGTACTAAAAGAACGTTTGACATCAACTAAAGTAATAGAAGCGTGCTGCAAATCAGTTATCATATCTGGGGAAAAATTATCACTACAAAATAACTACAGACTATAAAATGATATCTATATTATTATATAATAATAAATTATATTTCCACTACTGAAACAAAATATTGAAAATCAATAAAATTGATGTATTCTTTATTACATGAAATATTCTTTTACCTTGAAATGTTCTTAAATATGCAACAATAACTTTCGCTATTATTTATACATCTCACAATTTGTAAAGATTTTGAACCCCCGTCTGACTGCATAGACTTGAAAAAAAATATATAAGAATATAATTCCAGCCTCTAATTATATCAAAACATAAAGAACTATTTATTTATTATTATTTGTTTTTTAATTTAATCTCTTTGCAGTCTTACTTTTCACTTGTTTAATTGTTATTGAGGATATTATTACTTGTTCCATCGATATATTTTTGAAAAAGTAATAATACCACACTGGTATTAAGTTAAAGCAACATAATAAGAGTAGATCTTTTTTAGTAGATGAAAATTTTTAAGGAGTATCATAGTCCATTTTAGTAAAATATCATTTTTATTTGGATAAATTTGACTTCTTATATCTATAGTCTTGTAGTCATTTTAAGAAAAATCTATTTTGTAGTGTAGTATAAATGGTTTTTCATTTTTGAAATTTATTGCCACAATATTCCCCATTAAAATTTTATGGCAATTTTCATTTGAATAAATTGTACTCATGTCGTTGCATAACTTCATGAAAGCTATAAAGTCTTTTGTGTCCATTTCTGTTGAGTAAAGTTTCTACTTTTTTTTTGTTAATTGAACATTAGACACCCACAGTGCTGTAATGTAAATAGATCCACTTTTTTGTGATAATTTGTTCTGGTTTTTAATTCTGCTGTGTATTGAGTCTACAAGCAATTGTGTCTGACCAGTTGTTAAAAACTTATGAATTATTTCAGAAATATTCAAAAACATGACAATATACATATATATATATTTTGTTTTATTTTTTCTATTGCAGTTATCAGAATAGAATGTTAACTTTGTATTTTCATTTGGTACAATTAATTTTTTAATATATTTCAATTTGTATTGCTTCTCTATTACCTGTATTTTCATTTCAAATAAAACAGCGATCTTCATTACTATATGAGTCAAAAATTGTATGTGGCAAACTTACATTTAAAATAAAAACTAGATACTTCGCCTAAAAGTGTAGGTAATACAACTTGCAAATCATAAATCTAAAGACCACTGTTGTTATTTGTTTTAATATAATCTATATCTTTAACAATTTCATTTTAATTGTTTTTAATACTTTTTTAATTTGGTTTCTAACTGCAATTTTTTTTCGTATTCCTCGCAAGTACAATATTGGTCTTTCTTTGGAAGAAAAAAACCAATATTAAATACATAATTAAAAACGTGTGTTTAACAGGTGTAATATTTCCATTTCCGCAAAACTGTACATTCCGTATATTTCAGATGTCAAGTTCCCAATAAAAAAACTAATGTATTTCATTAATTAAATTCATTGTATGCAAGTGTATTATTTTGAGCTACTACACAATTATATTTACAGAAACTTATTACTTTCCTTAATACCTTACAGTACTTTATGATTTAACTTTATCAACTTTGTAGATACAAGATAATATTGTAGTGCACAGCGCACTACCGCATTACACTAAGATCTTCATTTATAAAAATAGGCACAACTCAAAATCGCCATTTTTTTTAGTTATAATGTGTAATGTGAAAGAGTGTATTCTTTCAATCCACTAAAATTATATTACTGTCCAGTTTTTTGCTGAACAATTAAAACAATATAATGTGAAAAGAACTTGTCATAAATTACAGTTGGAGACCAGATTTGTTTGTAAGAATAGGTAACAAGTTTTTATGTTCTATAATTTCATCAAAATATTATTTTTCCAAATATGTAATGTTCTATACAAATTCATGACATACTAGAAGAAGAAATTAAAATTATTATTTTTAAGAGTACCTATTCAATCAATATTAATCATTAAAAAGTACTAAAATCACCTATATAACACACATCTTCAAAATCAGATATATTGCAAACATGTACATACATACCACATAATCACATCGCCAGTCTATTTTAAATACCAATTCTGACAGTTTACATGTTTGATAATTAGGATAAAGTTAATTGTGAAGATAGAAATAATCAGAAACACCTAATACAATGTAAAGACTATTCAATGCTTACTGCATATTCCGTATCCATTCTCTATTGTAGGATTATACATTTTTCTGTTTGTTTTTTAAATTTTATCCTTTGCAATACCACTTCCCATACCCATCTATTGCAGACACCTATTTGCAGACTGTCTATAACAGACACTTTGTACGGTGTTGTTACTATCCTTTATATACAGGATTTACTGTATATAAGTACCAAATAAATGTATAGCAAAGATTTTTTTTATGATCTATCTATATGCACCTAGTAAATATACAGCTGTATCAAATGTACCTAATTTAAACAAAAATACAAATTTAAGTTAGAAATATTAATAAACGTCTACTATTTATTGGATAAATAGTTTAAAAAGTACAATGTATATTCAGTGTAGTTGTAGTAAAATGGTGAATTTTCCTTTCAAAGCAAAGGGTACAAGATTAAAGTCAGATTTTTTTGTAGTTTTTCAAAAATCAATGTATATTTTTCAAAATTTACAAGTCCTTTCAAAACATAACTCTAAAACATCTATTATATTATGCGAATTATACTTTTTATTCCAATACAAATTTTTGTACATCAATTTATTACCAAATTAATTGTCAAGAACACTTACTCAATTAGAGCTGTATAGTGTATGTTCATAATAAGAAAATGTAATTGCATTCAAGTCCAGTATCTACTAATAACTAATAAGGATATATTTTATAAAATAGTAATAAATAATAGGGCTCACCTCCTATTACAAATTATATTAAATATTAGTAAATGGTTCCTTTTTATCCTGTAAAAAAGAACGTAAAATATTGTGCAGCGGTTAATAGTTATTTATTGTTGAAATGTTATTATTATGCATATCTGTAACATTGGCATAATATAATTTTTGTAAAACATAAATTAATAAAAACCACAAACTACTGTTGTTAACCCAACATACTATATTTCAAACCATATACCTAGTTTACATTCAGCCACTGCCATTGCTACTCGCGCTGCCGTATTTACTCCTCAAAATACTCCTGTGACAGCGTCGACGGCAGTGAGTGTTTACATTGCCCTGCTAATTATAGCAGCGCGAGCAGCAATTGCCGGTTATGTTGATGCTCAGTTTACCGCTCTTGACGGGAGCGTTGGGCAGCGTCAGTGCGAGGAGCATGATCAGCGCGAGTGACATGTTTACATACTCGCGCTGCCCATTTTTATGCTTACTTCCTTGCTCACTGCCACGGAAGCGGGCTGAATGTAAACTAGGTATTAAATATTGAATTGTATATTATTATTAGGTACATAAAAAAATTGTGCTTATTTCTTTGAAATAAGTATCTTTAAAAAACAAATGGTTCTTTTTAAGAAAATAATTTAACTTTGTCAATTATGAAAACTTAAAATATTTATTAATTTTAAATTTTATGAATATCAAAATTGATTTTAATGGTTTTTCTTAATTTACCACTGAGCAATAGTGTTGGAAAATACAATATGGTCCTTGATTATAGATACTTTAGATATATAAAGTAAATATATATAATTAATGTATTTATAAAAATAAAATAAATGAATCAACGAGTCACCTAGAGCAGCGGTTCCCAACCTTTTTAGTTTCGCGGACCACTAATTTTGTAAAAAAATATTTGAGGCCCACCCATAGCATACCTATGTACGTTTTCATAAAATTATAATATATAATATATATTATATACATATATACATGTATATATAGTTATTAGGAATAAAAAATTTTAAAAATTAAAAAAAAACTTAATTCAACTTTATCACAAGATAAACAATTTAATGTGATTTTTGACATTGCTTGTTCTTCACGAGAAAGTCAATATCTGGATTAAAACTTGTCAGTTTTAGTCTTAAATCACTCTCAACATTCAGTTTATTCCTATATTTATTTTTTAAATAAATTAAAATAGAAAAAGCACGTTCACATAAATAAGTTGTCGAAAAGCCCATCAAGTTTCTCAGTGCAATTTTAGNCACTTTGACCAATCTACTTCGTTTTCTTTTATAAAGCTATCAACAGATTTAAAAATCTCTTCGCCAGTTGTTTTTGTCGACAAAGACTGACAAAACAGCATTTCTTCTTCAATATTACCATTCAACTCAAAACGAACAAAAGCTAATAAATTAGCTTGGCCAGCAACGTCTGTGCTTTCATCCAGTTGCAGCGAAAAATATTCACTTTGTTTTAAGACAGTAATAATAGCTATTTTCACATTTTCTGACATTTCATCAATTCTTCTTTTCACAGTCGTATTCGATAACGGAATTTCATTAATTTTTTTGGTACATTTTTCATCAAACAAAACATTACTTATTATTTTTGCTGCGGGAATAATAAGTTCTTCTCCCACGGTGTGAGCTGACCCCTTCTTTGCGATTAACAATGAAAGCTCATAAGAAACTTGGGTACTTGTTACGTTTTGTTTTGAAGATTTTTCCATGACTGATTTAGTCATAGAAAGATTTTTTTTCTTGATTTGAAAAAAATCGAGAGATTTTCCTACATATTCAGGATGTTTAGTTGATAGATGCCTTTCAAGTTTTGAAAATTTCATACATTCGTTGGATAGCGTTTAGAAACAAATCAGTGTGACGCCGTATCCGAGGAGGAGTCATGGTTTTTTATGTTTGGGCTATTTTAAAAAGTCAGGGTCATACTTACGAAAATATATTTTAGTTTTCTTTGTTATATTCAAACTTGACACATCGACAATCTCACTACTAGTAGTTCCACTACTAGTAGTTCCTTCATCATTTGACAGCTTCGTCTTACGACAGGATCCAGTTCGAAACCAAGTATCCATATTTACGTGTAGCGTAATTAATAATATGTACTATGTCACTATGTAGTATTATATGTAGCAACTCACAGCAGACACAACGACGCATAAACACACAACCATTGTCGCAAAATAACTAGTTTACCAATTTACGAAATCGAAAGACCTATTAAATTTTTTATCGCAACCCGCACGCCGTGCACGTTAAATACGATAAAATGACAGATAACAAGAACCTATTAATAATCAACGAACTACATAAGATAAAACTACATTCAAACATTCGATATCGTATCGTTAATTGTATACTTACTGTACACTATAGTTAAAATTGATTAAATATTATTATGATTAGAAATATAACAAAAAATATATAATAATATTTAATATTATACCTATGGCTCGCGGCCCAGTACCATGCTGCTCGCGGCCCACGGGTTGGGAACCGCTGACCTAGAGTAATAAGACAAGTGTATTACACAATTATAAGAAGTGTAAAAGGAGACTTTACATTTTGACTGTGTTATACCCAATGATCAATTTTTAATTCATAACTGGTTGTCATATTACTTCAGGCAAGCAACACATTGTTTATTTATTTTCAAGTATTAATAATCATTTTAATAATTTTTTTTTCACTTTATTATTTTAGATTTTTTAAACTTTTATTTAAATTTCTCTTGAAAATTATTACAAGTTGTATAAGGTACAAAAAAGTTTATAATTACCACATTTTAGTTTCAGTTATGTTTTTTAAAAAAAAGTTTAAAAATACTATTTCATTCTTGTGTGGTTCACCAATAGAGTCCAAGGGATAAAAAAAAAATGTATTTACCACTGAACACATTCATTTCAAAATTGAATTGAAGGATTAAATTTTAAATGAAAAAACATTTCGCCTTCACATTACCGAATTATAATTTACCAAAAACAATTCAAATTTAAATGTCAAATAAAACTTAGCAATATAATTTCTAGTAAACTGAATACATAATTGATAAATAGTTGATTATCATCAAATTAAGAGTTTAAAATTATTAACACAGATTAAAGATCAAAAAAGTTAAGATCTCTTGGCAAAATGTCTTTAGTTAATTATAATTTACCTTATCTAAGATAACATAAGACAACCAATTTCTCCTCAAAATCCAATTAGTAACTCAATTTGTAGACCTATTTAAAAGAAATAGATTACAAATATATACACACATATACTTAAAAGATGGTTAAGAAACAAAACATTTTATTATACAAAATTATTCCGTTTAATGTTAATTGTATATTTTCAAAACTCATAACTTACAATGAACTAGACAATTCTGCAAGCAAACAGTATAGTAGTATGATGCAGGTGTTTAATAATAAATCATTTATCTACACCAGATACAATACAATTAAAGTAGTTGTTTTGGAACAATTTTAAATAAGAAAAAAAAAAAAGAATGGACAAATCAGTCTCAAAATAATATTTATAACAATAAAAAAATTAGGAAATGTTCTTGTTAAATAAAATTACTTTGTGTATGTAATTAATCAACTTCTTCCATACGGGATGAATCTTCAGCATCAGCTACTTCAACAAGGTTGGATGATTCATCAACCTCAGCAGATTTTTCACTGGCAATTATATCAGGTAAATCTTCGTCAATTCCCAAACCTAATTTGATCATTCGGTGAATTCTGGAAGCATGTACTTGAGGATCTTCGAGCCCAAAACCAGATGACAATAAGCTGGTCTCGAACAACAGCATAACCAAGTCTCTTACAGCCTTGTCATTAGAGTCAGCTTCAGCTTTTTGTCTGAGAGTCTCTATAATCGGATGGTCTGGGTTGATTTCCAAGTGTTTCTTAGCAGACATGTAACCCATGGTAGACGAATCTCTAAGTGCTTGAGCCTTCATTATACGCTCCATATTTGCAGTCCAACCATATTGCGAAGTGACAATACAACAAGGAGATTCAACAAGTCTGTTACTAACAATGACTTTCTCGACTTTCTTGTCCAAAATGTCTTTGACAACTTTGCATAATTTTTCAAATTTGGTTTGATCATCTTCACGTTTCTTCTTCTCTTCATCAGTTTCTGGTAAGTCTAATCCTTCCTTGGTTACAGACACTAAGCTCTTGTTGTCATACTCTTTCATCTGTTGTACAACATATTCATCGATGGGTTCAGTCATGTAAATAACTTCAAAGCCACGTTTCTTGACACGTTCCACAAATGATGAGTTGGATACTTGTTCACGGCTTTCACCAGTGATATAGTAAATACATGTCTGGTTTTCCTTCATACGCGCAACATAGTCCTTCAAGGAACACGGTTCATCACCGCTGGTAGAAGTGTGGAATCTCAACAAGTCTGAGAGCTTTTTCCTGTTTCCGCTATCTTCGTGGATTCCAAGTTTTAAGTTCTTACTGAATTGCTCATATAACTTTTTGTAGTTGTCCTTGTCTTCAGCCAATTCTTCAAACAATTCCAAACACTTCTTAACCAAATTCTTTCTGATAACCTTTAAAATCTTGTTTTGTTGGAGCATTTCACGAGAGATGTTTAAGGGTAAATCTTCACTGTCTACAACACCCTTGATGAAGTTTAAGTACTCTGGCATAAGGTCTTCACAGTTGTCCATAATAAATACACGACGCACATACAATTTAATATTGTTCTTCTTCTTCTTGTTTTCAAACATATCATAGGGGGCACGCTTGGGAATGAATAACAGTGCTCTAAATTCAAGCTGACCTTCAACAGAGAAGTGTTTGACAGCTAAATGATCTTCCCAGTCATTGGTCAAAGATTTGTAAAATTCACCATATTCATCTTGGCTGATATCATCAGGATTACGTGTCCAGATGGGTTTGGTCTTGTTCAAAATTTCCTCATCTAAATACTTTTCTTTGACAGTCTTCTTCTTCTTCTTGTCTTTATCTTCATCTTTCTTATCTTCATCCTCATCTTCACCAACATCTTCAATCTTAGGTTTCTTATCTTCTTCAGTCTCACCTTCACCTTCTTTCTTTTCTTCTTCTGCTTCATCATCACTCACTTCCTTGGTGCGTTCATTTTCTACGATCAATTTAATAGGGTAGCCGATAAATTGAGAATGCTTCTTGATAATGCCTGTGATTTTCTCTTGTTGAAGGAATTCAGTTTGATCCTCTTTGATTTCAAGAACAATTTTGGTACCACGGCCCAATGGTTCACCAGGATCAGATCGGATGGTGAATGAACCTCCAGCAGAAGACTCCCATAAGTATTGTTCATCATCATTGTGTTTAGAGACAACAGTGACTTTATCAGCAACCAAATATGCAGAATAGAAACCCACACCAAATTGACCAATCATAGAAATATCAGCACCCGCTTGCAAAGCTTCCATGAAAGCCTTGGTACCAGACTTGGCAATGGTTCCCAGGTTGTTGACTAAATCAGCTTTAGTCATACCAATACCGCTAAAATGTAAAGTAAATGTAAGTCAGAAAAAACAATAAAAATACCCTAAGGTAACGTGTTCAATATATATACATACGTGTCAATGATGGTTAAAGTTCTTGCTTCCTGGTTGGGGATGATTTTGATGTGAAGGTCTTTGCCAGATTCCAATTTGGATGGTTCTGTCAAGGATTCGTAACGAATCTTGTCCAATGCATCAGAAGAGTTGGATACCAATTCTCGTAAAAAGATTTCTTTGTTGGAGTAGAATGTGTTGATGATGAGAGACATAAGCTGAGCAATTTCAGCTTGAAAAGCGAAAGTCTCTACATCTTCGGTTTCAGAGGCCATGGTTACGTCTTCAGGCATCTGTGAAAAGCAAAAATAATATTTTAAAGAGAGAGAATTAAATGAAGGAAACTTATAATAAGTTTTTTTTGTTTATTTAATAGGAACATTAGTCTACCATTATTGTGAAACATTTAAACTAAGTCCTCAAATGAAACTAAGGTAATTTCAGGGATTGGAAAACAGAAAAAAGTAAATCGCAACAAATTGGACACATATAATCACTAACATTGAACCAAATAAATAAAAGTTAGGTATTCAAGATATTAGGTAAGATTACCTAGTACCACAAGTTAAATGGAAGAATTATATTAGTATAATAATATGCAAAATGAAAAATACCTACATAATTGTTTAAACAAAAAAAAAATGTAAGATTGATAGATCAGACTAAAAATTTAACCTAACTTGGACTGTTTCAAAAAAAAACAAAAAAAAAAAAAAAGTTAAACAGGATGTATAGACGTTACTTACGGTCAATGTTTTGTTGCAACAAAATTAGCAATAGAAAAAATTCGCGGGATATTCTTGAACAGCAATTGAACAAAATGAGCGCAGTGTTTCACGGATGTGTACCGTTGAACATAAGACTCGAAACTGACATCGAAATGACTGCGGCCGGCGGTATTTATAATCTCGAAACGGCCGGCTCGCGAATGTTCTATGGACGCCGTGGTAGCACGTTAGTCAAAATCCCCAGCGTCCCGGTGCGGACGAACACGTGTGACGGGCGATGGGTAACGGCACACCGCCGTTTGCGGAACACGGGCCGCCCGGTATGCTGGGAGTAAACGGTGCGCACCGTTTGCCGCGTCGGGAACATTAGGTCGGCTGACGACCCGTGCTTCGGGATCTTGACTAACGCGCTACTTACTTGCGTTTTTTGCCGGGCAATTTGATTTCGAGAATCTTCTAGAACATTCTACGAGCCAACCGACGTGTATACAGAGCGACGCGGTGTTTCGTTCAATTTTTCATTGTTCCGTTGCTCGCACGTACGCCGAAATATGGTATTATAATATCATTATCGTCGTCGTTTTTAACAATTATTAAATTACCGACATTAACAATCCGTCTTAAAAAAGGTTTTGCGAAATTCTTTCCATTTCCGTTTCACGTAGGTACGTTTTTCGGCATAAAAGAATCCGATGAACTTCGTCGAGTCTCCCGGATATCATATTCGCCGCCGTTGGTTTCTTGCAAAAACAAATTGTTTCTATATACACCACGGGGCCCCCGTCGTGTTTCGGCAATTTTCCAAACGACAACATTATTTCCATCGGTATTCGCGCGTACCTTCCCAATTTCGGTGGTCGGTAAACGGCGGTACTCGGATACCTTATCCGAGAAATAGTAAATTAGAAATGACCGTATATGTGTATGTTTTCAAAATTGTACGGATCATTTTATTATAGCGGTAAACAGCGGTGACGGGAAAATTCGAAAACGAACAAAAAGAAAAGACGGACACGCCGACTTTGGGCCGCGGTTTCACCGATGGGTGTAGTCCGAGGAGTTGGCATGTTGTTGGAATTTACCGGGTAGGCAATCGAAAAATGATTTTTGACCGGGAATTCGTCGGACGGGTATAAGCCAATAATACAATTATGAGGTCAACGCAGGATTCATTTTGCTATCGGTTTTTTTTGGAAATTTTTTTTTTTCCACACAAACTTTCGGACATCTGTCGGAAAAAATGCGCGGAATAAAGTATCACCAGTTCACCTATGTACCTGATATATCGACGACACTGGTAGTGTGCACGGGTGATATAAATAAATAAAAAAATAGGCAAGTATCTGCGCCGTACGCGTTCAAAATAGAAAATGTTACGGACGAGTCGTCGAGCGGATTACTCAGCGTTTTTCCGGGATGGATGCTGAAAATCCACACGTGTTCCAAAAGTTTCTATAAATAGACGTCCCTCTTTTTAGACGGCGTTTTATTGAAACCATAACGTCGCCCATGTCCGGTAAATCCGGCTCTGGCACGAGTTACCTGCGCGGAAAATCGCAGTCAATCCCAAAAGTTTTTGTCGTTGTTTTGTCGCTTTTGTCCGGGGAGCTCATATTTTGACGAACACCGGGACACGCGAGTACATGTCAGATTCGTCGACTGTCGACCTTTACCGCGGTTACAACCGTTCACAAACCGTGTGACCTAAAAGTGATTTCCCGAAGATCTGGCAAAATCGCATATCCATTATATTTTTATTTCCTCTATTATTCGCGCTGCTCGTTTTCATCGTCGTTTTTTGTCGACTTCATATTATTACCAATTATTTAGTGCATATTTTATTTTTTTTTTCCCGCAGATTTTCTAACCCCCCCTTATAGGTTTCAACCGCATTTTATTTTTTCTAGACATTTTCTCGGTTTTGTTCTCAATAGTTTTCACTCGTGAAATATACAAGTTTTATGAATAGTCAATTTTTTTATTTCCCCGGTCGTCAAAATATTATAATCGACGAAAACAGCGTTATGTTCGCGTACGATAATTATTATAATCAATGGACGTATACATAAAATACTATGCAAATTCACAGACGCGCATAAAATATTACATCGCTCGATGAATTCAAATTTTTTTTTTGCCCTCCCCCACCCCCCGATAACCTATAGTTCAATATATTCGACAATATTATGTTAAATTATTATATTTGTTCTCGAACGATGGTTTTTACGCTACTACACCGCTCTGTATACACTTCGGATACCCGGGCGCGACCGAGTCGAGTGTACCGGACGCCGCCACAAAACGCGTGGAGCAGCGATTGTGACGAATAAAATACGAAATAAAATAACACAGATAATAGTATCGCCCGATAAGCACGTGGACGGTTCCTATAATAATATAAGATTCTGTGTGCAGCGCAGAAATTTACGGTTTTTACGTGGAAATGTTCGTTTTTTCCATTTTTCTTACTGCGTACGAAATTTCTACCAGAGAGCATACTCCGCGATGTATACGGCGTAGGCCTTTTTATGAAATCGTTTTTAAAGAAAAATTACCTTAGGGTGGAACTTTAGGGAGATCATTTTTCGATTTTCTCATGAAATGTGAATACGTACATTCGTACATTATTATATTAGTAAAATATTAAGATTTTTTTTTTTTCTGTGTAAGGACAACTTTTCTACCAGCAATTTTGCTCCGATTTACAACGGTAGTACTTTTTTCTGAACGGAAATCTGACTGGGAAGGTACTTTGGGGGATCATTTTTCGATTTTTCCCAAGAGTTTTCCCGGCAAATGTGAAAAACCGAGGAAAAACAGTACAATATTAAACAAATATATTATTAAAGAAGACATATAACACCTATTTAATTATTTAATATTTTACTATAATACTACATATACATTGTTGACAAAGCGTTAAAATCAACTGAACTCTGCTCAGAATCGTTTTTTCGTTAGTAATGGTTTATCGTTGCTTACATATATAAATTAAATTCCCTTCTGTATCCTACCTTCCAAACTTCCCACGGTCAATATCTGCAATCATGTGAGAAGCATGAAAACGCGTTTAAAAAAAAAATATATATATATTATTGTTAATTATTATGACGTCATACCAAAAAAAAAAAAAAAACCCACTTCCTATAAGCGAAAACATGAGAATAATTATTTGAAAAAAAAAGCCCGGCCTAACCTATCATTTTCCACTGCCGGTAAATGTTGAAGATTTTGAAATAAACAAAAAAGTGAAAATTAGTTGATTACGGCCTTTGCTTAGTGTATCCAGGACTATACACAACGTACTGATTTTCATCAAATCTATTAAACTTACATGCCTTTTGTCCTGGTTTCGTGATTTCAATATAATTTTCCGAATTTTATTACCAAAAATTATATTAATATAAGTACAAAGTATGAAAACTTCCAATAATACAGTGTATATCCCATTAAGATATATTTCGTTCCATTGTAATATTTCCGAAGATAATAAAAAATAATCAGATTCTAGTTTTTTTTTATATTAGTCACTGGGATTTGGTTAGTGATTCTCACCTCTAACTCTAACCTGATCTAACAAATGCATACATTAATATAAGTAGTGTTAACGAAAATAAAAGGTCGCGCATATCTGACCAAAAAGGAAAAAAAAATCGAAAATTTCATAAACAAGTGAAAAAAAAAAAATTCTACTAGACTAGAATTTATCAAAAAATGTAAGTCGTTATTATAATGAAAATAATTTATAAACTTTTGTAGGTAAATAATAATATATCAGTAAAAAGTAATGGCAATTTTTTTTTTTTTTTTTTGACAAATTTCTATATAATCGTATGCCAAATATTAACATTAAAAATATTATATTTATAATTTTATTATATGTGTATTTATCTATTTTTTTCTTCACATATTTACCTCCCCTATTTTATACCAGGGGTGGTATTATTTTTGTGTAGATAATATGTCGAGGGCATTTGGTACGTTACGTCGAGGGCAACTGGTACATTATGTTGAGGCCGACTGCTAACTGGTGCATTTTACTTATAGGTAGTTTGGGGGGAATTCGTATAAAAAAATGTACTTTTGAGAACAGCTGATACATGTCCCACTGAATTAGGATAGCATATCACGGTAAACGCAACGAAAATGTATGGAAATAATGAAAGTTCTCGTTATATTATAATAAATTATTATCAACCGGGTCTTGTTGATACACAAATGTTAAATAAACGGTAATAAATTTGTCGATTGAATACAGTACAATGTATATCTAGGTACCTACCTATTTGTGTTTATAAAACCAAAATTTGGGATTTTCTTTTAGTGCTCGGGATAGTTTTATTTCGGCCATTCCTGGATGCTTTTATACAGTTTTATAATACCTATATAACATGTTAATGTTATAAAATAAAAAGCGATTATTCGTTATTAAAATGTTGGCCGTTTTTTTCCTCTGGTGTAGTCAAGGTAACCAAGATATCGACAAAAATAAAACCGACATGTCGTGATCGTAATGTCAGTAAAAAACAAAGACTTCAGTCGAAATTGAATAGTATTCGCAGTGTACATGTAAACTCGATTTTTAAAATACACACTCGTACACTCTTGTGCGTAACAAATACGCTGCAACATATTACACTTCATATCTATACTAATTTATAAAAATGCATACACTGATACGGTTTAGATCGGAAAATGAGGAGGGAAAAATTACATTGAATTGAGAATATCATAAGAAAAAAAAAAATTCCGAAAATCTACTCGAGCAGCTCTTCCCTTTCATGCGACCTTTTTGAAAATTTTTTTTAATTGGGGCTACCTACTCTACCCGACCAACTAATTTTCTCAATTACCATAACTGAAAGAAATTAAATTACCTTCCATTTATTTGTTAAGAAATATATACAATTAAACGAGTAACAGGTATAACATATTGGTTGTGCTTTGTGAAATTCTTAATATTGATACCAAAACAAACCAACAACATATCAAATTTAAGCATTTCTATGAACGCCATTCGATTATGTATATTTCATAACATTGACAGGTCAAAGTTCAAAATTCTGTGGTATAGGCAGCGGGTATACCCGGGCATAGGTTTAGGTACCCACTTCCGGACCTGATCTTTTTGAATCGTGTTACGAAGTAAACAAATAAAAAATTGACAGATTACCTTAAATTATATTATTTATAATATTCCATTATATGGGTTATGTTGTTTCATTATGTAGATAAAAGTGACAAACAAAACCAAACATAATATATTACTAAAAATTGAATTTTAATTTCTATTCACAGTACGCATTCCATACAAAAATTGGAAGTATTAATTTAAAATTTGCATTACCTATATGTCATGTTGATAATTATTTTGGATTTTTACAATACAACCATCAAATGTATTAAAATATCTATATTCATATCTAGAAGTATCTATCAAATCATTTATATATAAATTTAATATTTATTGTCACATAATTAATTTAATTTATGATACGATACGTTTTAATGAAATTATATAAAGCTTCTATTTTAAAGTGTATTTTAATTCAATAACTCTATTTAGTTATCTGAAATGTCAAATATGCAAGTTAAATATTTAATAGTTACACTAAAATATGTAGAATGTGTATTGCAAATAACACTAATAATTCACTTAACTATTAAATACATTTTTATTATTATATTATAGAAACCTATAAGATTAAAAAATATAAACAAGTACAGTTAGGCGTACTTATCTTAATCATTTAGGAGATATTGGTGTCATAATTCAGTAGTCAAGACATAACATACAAAAATACTGTTCTAAAAGGAATATTTTGTCGAAACATGAGCATAGCGTATTCATAAATCAGTCAAATCAATCATAGCACACAACTATTAACATTGTTAGTGAAATTATATCCATACCCAATTAAATTAAATTTGTATAGTATAAATAATTATAAAAAGGATGGACATTCTTCGCAAGTGGGTACCCACTGTTGTAGGTGGGAAGTTGAGAAGGTAGGCTATAGACGGGAATTTAATATATATCTATAAGCAACAATAAATCATTGCTAACAAAAAAACAATTCTGAGTCTAATTCAGTTGATAATATTGATTTGTCAACAATACAATATGGTATTATGTCATATTATGGTAAAATGAATAAAACAATGTGCGTTTCCATGACAATGATTATTTAAAAAAGATTATTTAAAATAATAAAAACTTAATAATAACAAAAAATAAATAAAAACGGTTGCCAATGACAACAACCTTATTTTTAAACTTTAAATCTTTTTTAACATTAAGATTAAGGTTTTCCTCATTATCTCGAATAGTAATGAGAAATTTTGGAAAATGACTTCTTTAGAGTACCACTCTGAGAAAATTTTCTTTCAGAAAAGGTGCTATACTTGATAATCGGAGTATAGTTTTTGGTAGAAAAGTGTTAAACCAATACATTCATCGTTCCACTCAGAATTTAAAATTAGTATAAATATATATTTTTTATTTTCATACAAAATTTAAGTTTATACTAATACAATTCTAAAGAAATTTATAATAAATTAAGAATCATTTATTTTATTTGATTTTCTAATATGCTTCCCTTTAGTTTTATTTTTAAAATGTCCAGATTTGCTTTGAGTAACTTTATGGTGTTTCTGGTTACTGTGAGTGCCTCCAAGTTTTCCACTAAATCTCTTTTTGCCTATATCCCGTTTATGTCTTTTGTCTTTGTTTTTCAAAAAATCTCTTAAAATGTTTCTTTTCTTCACGAACCTCGGATCATGACTTCCAGTATAATTAATTTTATTATATTCAGGATTATAAAATTCTTCAGCATCTAAAACAAAACAAAAAAAATTAATGGCCTGTTAGAAAATTGTATAACTGATGCATTAATATTAAGTATATTTAGTATAATAATAAATAATTATGAAATGCTCAATATTATTGAAATGTGTAATACACACTAAATCTAATCGTCAAATTTTTATTTGGTATAAAAATACAGTATCACAAATTTATTAAAGAGGCAGCTTAAAGAAGAATGGTTGCGTTCTATAAATCATAAAGCAAATATCACCTTGAAACAATTTTTTGAAAACATGAAATACAGTTTTTAATTATAGACAAGATTATAACTATGTGTGATGTGTCTAACCACAATATACCTAAGGTTGCCACCTTTGAAACATTGAAAGATGGTAGACCCAAAGGCTGATAAGAAAAAAAAAGGTTGTCAGTAAAAGATATCTATGTAGGTTCTCGTAACTAATGAACAAACTATACACAATTATATGAATAGTTATAATTTTTACGACGACCTGGAGAATAATTTACTGAACCCGTAGCCTGTAGATTTCTATGTAAAACCAGAGTATACGGGAGAAACTCGGAGAAGTGGCAACCCTAAATTTACCTTATCTTCAACTTTGAAGGTCACACATAATATCTCAGCTAAACAATCTTGTATTTTATTCGGATTTTGTTTATTAGAAAGAGGACCTTGTAATATACAAAAAACCTTTTTTATCAAGATTGGATTTAAATAGTTTTATTTTTTTTTTAAGTAACTTTGACCATTAAAGTTTTTTATAACTTTAAAATTGTCATTTTTAGGACAGTCAAAAGTTTTGGATTAGGTAGTTCGTAATTATAACATTTTTTTCTCATTGTTTTTCTAGTTTTAAGTTTTTACTCTTATATACACATATATAGGTATTACAATTAATTTTCTATCAGTTTTGACTATTTATATTATTATTAAAAATGGTAAATAAAAGTGTTTTTATTTGTTAAAATTAAATTATTGTTCAAATTATGGATAATTTAGTAATCAATGAACTATTTAAAGTTATTGCTATTATTATCAAGGCAAGCTTCCATCCAAAAAATTCAATAATTACAAACTACTTAATTTGAAACATTAGACAGTTCTAACAATTATATATTTCAAAGTTGCCTAGAAAAAATTAAAAATTAATTTTCGAAAATAGCAGTTCCTATTGAAGAAAATTTGATTTAACTGTGTATACGCAAATAAATAAGTTACATTTTTTTTTCATAATTTGTGTACTTTAATGTCCTCTGTTTAATGAAAAAACCCGAAATAAAATACAAGATCATATAGCCTAGATTTTTGTGTTACCTTTACAGTTGAACACACATTGTAATACTATAATATATGTATTGGTACCTTTGAATCTTGAATCATCTACTTTAAAAAAAAAAACTTCTCTCCAAACACCTCTGGACCCTAAAATTTTTTCTGAAGCTACTTTATCATCAAAATTGTCTACATTGTCTTCATGAATATTTTCTTCTTCAGAATCACTGGAATCATCAATAAATGGATTTTGACCAAATTTTTTTTGAGGATTAGACATTTTCTCTGCTTCATAGTCATCTTGTTCTAATTTATCACTACCTAAAATAATAAAAACAACAATTAACTATACTAAAAATTGTGGTTAAAAAAATTATAGATGATAAAAGAAGAGAAAACTGCACGAAAACTTACATAAGAGTGGTGCTACAACAATTTTTCTTTATTAAGAGTGAGAACAATTTATCAATTAATATTTTATACTTATATTGAGATGCATAGAAATAATATGCGAGTTTTTAAGTAAAACTAAAATACTACGTGTACTAATTTTTTTGTTAAAATCAATGTCAAATAAAAGACAATTTATTACAGTTTAAGATTTTTTTTTTGTTTTATGTAGAAATATAAAAGTGAGAATAATGATTGCAGTTCTGGCGTACATTTCAACATATATTTAGCTATACAATTTAAATATTTCATCCATTTGTAGGTACTTTCAATTAATTTACTGAATTAGAATCACCATAAGGTTAGTAACTCTGTACACAATATTTAGTTTAGTAATAATAGCAATACAAAACTAATAAGTACACTTAAATATCAATAAATCAATAATTAATTGATTATAAATAACTAGATAAAAGTAATGCTAAGGATATACATATATACAAGGATTTGAAGAGAATGTAGCTTAGATTAAGACAGATTCATTTTATTAATAAATTGATTAATTAATAATTTATCATACCTAGTGGAGATACGGGGTAGATTCATTTACATTTATGGTTACATACTTGACATTTGTGTAGTTTTTTATTTTTAAGATTGATGTTATTTTTATAGTCTGAAATTGTTAAAGTGCTTAAGCAATTTATTTTTATTAAATTATTATTATTATTATTGATTAATTTATGGAAAATTGTTGTAACTATTGTTATCTCACAGGTATTTTAATGCATATTATTTACTAAAAAGGTTTATTAAACTATTAAAGTGATTTTTTTAAATTAAAAAATTGAAAGACTCAATTAATGTTGTTTTATATTCTACCATTTTAATCTACACATGCTAAACAGTAAAATTAACAATTGTCATGTATTTTTGAAAATAATACTAATGCTAATTATATACCAACTCACTTTTATCAGATGTATGAAACAAATTGGTTAAACTAAATTGAGATTGTGAACTAAATACATCTTTTAATTTATCTTCAACTTTATAATATTTATCTGTATCAATAACTGGTTCTTTTGACTGTTGCTGTTGAACTTTTTGTTTTTGTTTTTTTGATACCCTTTTTTGTTTTGGTAATTCATGTTTGTCTTGTTCATATTTTTTATGTTCTTCTTGTGTTGGATCGTATCTTACCATATTAAATCTAAAATAAGATATAACAAATATAATGAAATTTAATATATATATTATTAATAATGATTCTTCTTCTAGTCCAAGTATTAATTGTAATGATTATATTTATTAATAGGAAACAAAAATTGAAGATATCACTTCAAAAAGAATATACAAAAATACAATAAAAACAAATTATTTACTGAGAAACTTTTTAAGTCTAATTCTTATGATTTATTGGTAATACAAATAATAACCTCACATTTGGTCTTCATTATTTTTTCTAGGTTTTGAAACTGCTCGGCCAACCACGTCTTCTAAAATATTCATTTGCTTTTCTATTTCATCATCACTCATTTTTTCAGTTAGTTCTTGATCATTAAAAAATCGTTGATCCATTACAAAACGATCATCTCCTGTTGCTTTAGACGTTTGCATATGAAACAACTAAAATGGTAAATTATTAGAAACAAATCATTAAACAATTTATATTGTATGAATTTAAATATAAAATTCAAATTCTCTATTGTAGGTGAAATATTTGAAACTATTATTTGCATATAATATAAATTATATTTCAAAACTATTGTTACCTTTTTGCCTTTTTCACCCTCAAACCGCAATTTCAATTTATAATCAGACACTAGCTCTTGATTTTCAGGCTCATTAGCATCGTCATCATCAAACAGTGATATTTTTTTTTTAGATAATTTTGTACCACTTTCTTTGCATTCTTGTTGGTCACCATATTCATCAAATATAATTTTCTTGTTTGAAGATTCTCCCTATAGAAATAAAATAATATAATTACATTTAAAATTAGTTTTTAATTTCAGTGTCAAAATACTTTAATTTTTATTATAAAATAATATGTTAGGTATACTATTTTATAATTTTAAATCATTTTTCTGAGGAAATAATTGAATGCCTGTAATGTGAGACGCGAGGAAAGGTATTAACAGAAACAATGGAGATTTTTGGAAAATAATATAGGTATGCATTTTTATCAATGTACCAAGATGTTTACATAATATTAATATTAATATTAATTATTTTATAAATATATTTTGGCATAATTCTAGTTTAGCTCCTACGTGATTTTTTTTTTTCAAAATGTATGTTTTTGTGTTTAAATTAAGAATGTAAAAAAAAAGTCATATGAAATTCGTTTGAAATTTATAGGGGAAAACTTTATGAAGTTCGGATTTTCCATTTCGAGTATTTCTTAATTAGAATTTAACATTTTCAAAAATTTTTTTTTTTCAAAATGTGTATTTTTAATGCGTAATCTATTGGTGTAACCAAAACTTACTTATCATACTTTAATAGTTTTTGTACATTAAATTTGAAAAATAGTTTTTTTGGAATTAATCCAAAATGTGGTCAAAAATAGACATTTTTTTCATTATTATTAATTGTGGTTATTGATATTTTGATAACAAATTTTTTTTTATTGAAGTCAGAATAAGTTTATCTGGCTTAATTTTAGAGTTACAAACGTTCAAACGTGCTGTATTTAGCTGTGCTCACTCGGACAATTTCAATGGAAAATAACCCTAGAGAGTGACCACATTAGATCTCTAGTTCCACTTATAATGCTTTCTCAATTTACCCTGTTACCTACCCGACATGGTTTGGCACAACAAATCGAGGATTATTTCCGATTAAAATTGTTCGAGTGAGTTAAGCGAAACACAGCGTGTTTAAACGTTTGTAACTCTAAAACTAAGCCAGATAGACTTATTCTGACTTTAATAAAAAAAACTTTGGTATGAAAATATCAATAACTACAAATAATAATGATATAAAAATGTCTATTTTTGACCAAATTTGGATTAACTCCAAAAATGTTATTTTTTAAGGTTTATGTACAAAACATATAAAAGTATGATAGGTAAGTTTTGATTATACTAATGGATAAAGTATCCAAAAATACAAATTTTGGAAAATTTTAAATTTTAACAAAAAAATATGCGAAACAGAAATTTTCGAAACCTACCCGAACTTTAAAAAGTTTTCTCCCATAACTTCTAAACGAAGTTCATCCACCTTTTTTACATTCTTAATGTAAACACAAAAACATTTATTTTGAAAAAAAATCCAAAAAATCACGTAAGAACTAAACTAGAATCGTTCCTATATTTTTATTAACTATCCATACTAATTCCAACTAAACAATATAATATTTGTATATAATACTAAAACATATTAATTTATAATACCTTCATGACTATATATTTACCTTAAGCGCATTAGCAATAGTATATTTTTGGTTTTGTAATGTTTTCCATTTTTCGGCCAATGCATTTTGTCTTTTAGCATCAGCTTGTATTTTGTCGATGTTGTCGATGTCTGTAATAATGGAAAACAGCTTATATAACCGAACTAACTTAATCCTGAACTTAGGATTACTTACCATTTTTTTGTTTTACTTTTTTCTTTACTACTGAACCGATTCCTCTGAAAGCTGGTAGATTTCCCCTAAATTTGTTTTCAGCGTTGTCTATTTCGTTAACAATCATGGCGAAGGAAGTTGTTGGGCGATTTCAAAATGTGTAAATAAGTTTAATAGGCACCTATCTTAAAAACACCTATCTTTGTAAAAAAACAATGTGCTTCTATTGATAATTTTATATCATAAAATGATAACGTATTTGATTATGATTTAAGCATAGATAATTTCTTTATTATCTATGAATTTAAGACGTAACAAACGGCTGTAACTTCTGAAGAATAAATAGCTGTTATTTTATTATGTTTCCTAAAACCGTTCATAGTTTCTAGCTTGTTGTTGACGTATACTGAATACCGAAATTCTAACCACAAACCTCAACCTCAACGGCCATTTTTCATTTTGGAATTTGTCCGTCTGATAAACTCTTCTACACCATCGGCATTTCCGAGTTTCTGATTCATCAGTATTCTTTAGTCATTACTCTGTGCACAGTTATCATCTCAACACAAGACATCTCACTGGTCAGTAATCTGCTATTTTTTTCGTTTTATTGTATAAGTTCTTTTATTTGTCTCCACTGTACCGTCCGTTAGGCCTACCGGCGGTCACTTGTTTTACATGTTCATTTGCACGATACTAACTTCGTTTCAAATAATCATCAGAAAAATCATGGGCAACCCAAATGAAGAACGTACATTCATTATGATCAAGCCCGATGGCGTGCAACGTGGTTTGGTTGCAAAAATCATCAAACGGTTTGAGACAAAAGGATTCAAATTGGTGGCCATGAAGTTTGTTTGGGTAAATCTTAATCTAGTTTACATAACATGGTTTTTTTTTTTTTTTATTATTTTCATTAATATAGTTGTTCAATATAGGTTCAGTTAATTGTATTTGGTATTGAGCACTTGTGCTCCATACATAAGGGCCTGAGGTACAAGACATGTTAATACTCAATACCTACTCAATAATAAACTAAAAAAAAATAAATACTATACCATTATCTTGTATTCTGTATTAAAAATAATTGTTGGCCTTTCTTTTCATTTTCAATTAGCCAAAATTATCTTAAATGATTCATCTGAATTTATTCCATAAACTGTTCTAGCATTTTTTTTTTTCAATTTTCCATTACAAATTATCTAGTTAGTTTAGTTCTATTTAAAATTAAGTTTTACATAAATATAATTTATTATTGATTGACAAATGCTTATCATACCTACTCTTAAGTACCTAATTTTAGAATTTGTCTTCATTTATAATATACAATTTGTAAATTTGTACCTAAAGGGCTCAGTTAGCGACATGGGTTTAGAGTAAGAAACAAACATATTACTTATTATTAATACATATATTTACATACCACGCTTTATGTGAAAAGATATTAATGACACTCACAGAATTTTTGTTAGAGTAAAGTTATATCTACAGATTAAAAATAATTTCACTTAATAACATTTCAAGCTCTAACTATACATGATTATTTTTATCTAATTAATTAATATAATAATTGCATCATTAAGATTGTATCAAAGAGATACATTCAATCAGAATTATTATTATAGATATGATAAAAAGTGGTAAATATAAATAAATTGCTTTATAAAATATTGGGTATCAACATTTTATTTAAACTTATTTAATTATGATATCTTGCTATTCTTGCATTCGCTGGTTATGCCTTGTAAATTAATCACCCTCATAACTATGCACTGGTATAAACATTTCTGAACTTATCAAACTTTGAACTCTGAAAGAAAATGCTGGATGTAAGATTCATAAGTAACTTATTTCTTAGCAAAATTGATGCTACTTGTCTATTAGATAGAATCAAATTTCATATACCTAGGATTGGATCTCGTAATATACAAGTTTTTGATATCAGCACTCTCAAAACTAATTATCTATATAAGACCCTGTATAAAGAATCATGGGTATAATTAACTCAGACCCAAGTCTTGTAGATTTTTAATCCAACTGAAGTATAACAATAACATGAATCTTAGGCTTGGACCACAAATTATTATTATAATTTTTTTGTTTTTGATTAATAATAATATTCATATTAACTGTATTGTTTTACCATGTTGTACTATGTCAACTTTTATTTGCTTTTCCCTTTGTATAGATTTGTTTAGGTCTTTAGGATTTTTAATTTCAGATCAATCTCAAATAGGGTTTTGTCCAAAATGAATATGCATTTTTAAGTAGGTACTTGAAAAACTATTAGAACTGAAAGTAAATCTAATCAATATTATATAGACTATAACAAAGAAATGAAAATATTGTTCAATAATTAAATGATAATGATATTGTTTTAAACTCTTGTATTATCATTTATATAAACTTTAAATAGATTTCATGGAAACTATTTAATATTTATGTTTACATATATTCACTAAAAATGATAAACTATCTATTATAATTTGTATTTTTCAGCCATCACAAGAATTGTTGAAGAACCATTATGCCGATCTTTCCAGCAAACCATTCTTCCCTGGTCTTATTGAATACATGTCATCTGGACCAGTTGTGCCCATGGTAAATTAAACATATTTACATTATATTTTGTATTATTATCAGGGTTTGGTATTTGTAGCTCAGCTCTTTTAATCAGTAAAAAAGTGCCTAATAAGCTGAATAATCATTTATAAGTGCTAAAAAAATTTAAAACACACCTACCAAAAGTATATTATTATGTGTGTATATATATATATATATAAAAACTGTAAAAAGCCAAAAGAACACTTTCAAATTTCATATTTGAACTCGTAACATGACATCAATTTAAATAGCACTCTGCTAGATTTTATATCAAAGCAATAAAATAAGTAAATGCTATTAGTCCCGAACCTAGATAATTATAATGTACATATATATATAAATTTATCAATTATAATTGTAGGTTTGGGAAGGATTAGATGCAGTGAAAACTGGACGTGTCCTCCTTGGTGCCACTGATCCGAAAAACTCTAACCCCGGCACAATTAGAGGAGACTATTGTATTCAAGTTGGCCGGTAAATATATAGTATACACATTTAGTTTTATTTGTAATAATATTAGATTAATAACTTAAACTAATTTTTTACTTATTGTTTTAATAGTAATATCATTCATGGGTCCGATGCTGTAGAGTCAGCAAATAAAGAAATTGCTCTGTGGTTTTCTGAAAAAGAAGTAATTCAATGGCAACAGAATAGTTCTTCGTGGTTGTACGAATAAACTCAATCAAAACATGGTATTTTTAATATTTAAGTGATAATTGAGCTTAACACATTTATTGTGTCTACATATTTAATGGTACATTTAAATAAAAACATTTATTATCTTTATGCGACTACATTTTTTAAATTTGTTTTAGATTTTAATTTTTAGTTTTAAGTTTGTTTTGTTTTTCAAATAATATTTTTAATATTTTTTTTTCTGTGACCAATGTTATTACTGGAATTTTGGTTCTAATTTTCAAGTAGAGCACCTTTTCTGAAAAGATCTTGGGATGGTACTTTAGGAAGGTCTTATTTGATTTTCTCAGGGGTTTTCATAATAAATGGGGGATAAACTCAAAAATTAACGAAATTTATTATTTTCCAAATTGAATTACAAAAACATGTTTAACTGAACGCTGCTCAGAATTGTTTTTTGTTAACAAAATGATTGATATTTCAGACATTAAGGTACCCCTCATTTCTAACTTTTCACCTACAACAGTGGCCCAACCATAGTGTGAAGTATGTCCTTTTGTTTTTTTTCTGCAATTAAAATTTTGATACAAACCATAGACCTATTAAAAAATGTGCTGTGCATTGATAATATTTTGTGTCCTCAATATAAACGTGGGGCAATTATGGATAAAAAAAACACATAAATATTCTATTCCAAGAAAAAATGTATGGCATGAAACAGGTATTAATGTGTCAATAGCATGTATGTAGCCATATGATAGAAGATATGTTTAATGAAATCTCCAAACATATTATATTAGACTAATTTCCATTGGACAATCATTTACTACAATTAATAAAAATTTAACAACAATTTTATTTTAAAATAAGATTACATTATCATAACATTACAATTGGTCATCCGCAACAAAGAAATTATCATCTCTCACTAAAATCATAACTTTAAGAACCTGTAAAAATACAACTTAATAATATTACATTATTTGTTAATTGTACAGTATGACCATATTATAATTAAATAATTTATTATATTTATATATAGTTGTTTCAAACTATAACAACAAAAATTAAAAAGTCAACTATACAAATATATTAGTTATTATATGATTAATGATATTAACACTGTTAAAGTAAATTATGTTTTTGTTTCTATTGCCCAACATTATTTCTAATTTTCTAAATAATTTATGTCTATAATAATTTCATAGATATGTAATAAGTGATAATTAATTTGATAAAATAAGGACTTATCATAAAATCATAAATAACATATTTTTCTTCAAGATTGTCCTTATTTACAATAATAGCACTTTTTTGGACAGGAAATCTGGCTGGGAAGGTATTTTAAGGGAATTATTTTTCGATTTTCCCAAGAATTTTCCTAGAGTAAATGTGAAAAACCGAGAAAAAACATAAGAAAAACAGTATAATATTAAACAAACATATTATTAAAGAAAATATTTAACACATATTTAGTTATTTAATATTATACCATAATACCACATATACATTGTTAACAAAGCATTACTATCTACTGAACTCTGTTTAGAATTGTTTTTTTAGTTCAAGTACAGAAAATGAAAACGCCCAATAATACAGTGTATATCCCATCAAGATATACTTTGTTTCCATTGTAATATCTCTGAGGATAATAAAAGATAATTTGATTCTGGTTTTTTTTATATTAGTCACTTGGATATGGACTACAAATATTAATATTGTAATTAATTTTTTATGTTTTGTTAAAAAATGAAACAAAAATAACTTTATTTTATTTTTTTTGAAAAATTTGAAGATAGTCAGTTTATAGAGTTTATATTTCTAAAAATTTTGACATATCAACTTTTTATTTTCATTAAATTAATGATTTTGAATAATGTTTTTAATTTTAGAGAAAAAAAGTGCACAGTCAATTAATTATATTAATATTAATCAATTAGAGCTTAGTGATTACAGCTTACTGCATAATTATAAAAAAAGCTGCCTTTAATAAAATTATAATATTATAAAAAAAGTTTATAGTATTTCCTTAATTCTCAGATTCCATAATCTATACGAAATTACGATTATATTTTAAATTGAGTAAGTGTACAAATATTAAAAATATCTACTGCTCAATTATATTTGAACCGTATGAAGTCTGGGGGATATTTTACTGGTGGGGTGTTTATTAGTTGCCCTCGGCTAATATTTTTGACATTAAAACAATATACCAGTTACCCTCAACAAAATATACTAGTTGCTCAAACATGGGTAATATTCAGAGTAGTGTATTCTGAATACTTTTAAAATAATTTTTTTCAGAAGTATTCAATGCTGTATCATGCATATTTTTAGAAAGTATGTAATCCCTTAAAAAAATATTTTTTGTCTCGTTTTAGAATATTTTTCTTTCTACAAGAAAATTGTGAAACAATTGCATATTATAATGGTGTTATTTGATGGCGCAAATCGTTATCAAACAAAATTTGTTTCAGAAATGTACAATTATTTATCTAAAAGTACCACAAAACACTTGAATTCTTAAATGATGCACCAACCGTAATAAAAACATTTATTAAATTCAACACATTGCTACCCAGCAGTG